ACAATTCAGATTACCAAGTTTTTTATTCCCCAAACTAGCTTTGTCACAAGAACTGTTGGAACAGTTAGTACTATCATCAGATGAGTTTAAAGAAGTAATGGCAGATAAACAATTAAGATCAGACTTCTTTACCCAGATTTTTTGTTGAGTTTTATTCACTAAATCAACCTTTATCTTGGGTTTTTTAGACGACACAAAAGTGTGATCAATTTTAGCGGAAAGTGGTGAGCGGGCCATTATTCTTTTAACCATTTTCAAGTACTTAAAACACCTGGGTCGTATATGACCAGGAACATGACAAAAATGACAGGTAGGAACAAAAACTTTCCTTTGAAATGGCTGTGTTGGTGCAACTGTCGCAACAGTCTGTGAAACAGTGGATTGCTTAACAAAATTGATTTTTCTTTTAGGATTTTCTTTCTGTTTCGATGCACCAGTAGATAGCTGGTTACCCCCTATACCTATACGACAGTAGTTCGGCTGATTTTTGTTCAAAATTTCATTCAAAGTTACTCTACCAGTATTAAACTTAGAAATAACATCTTGGGTTTGAGCAAATTTAGCCTGCAAGCTATCTATTTCTCTACTATAAGAAATAACATTTTGTTCAAGAGTAGAAATTCTTACCTTCAACACTTTGTTTTCCTCTATGAGAACATGCTTATCATTTTCAAGGCGCTTATTTACCTCAGATACTTCAAGCCACTTCCGGTACATTTTTTCATATACATCTTTCACCTCTTCAAGGGTTGGCTCTTCATCATCACTACTGCTCTCAGATTCACCTGCAAAATTAAATGATGAAGTCAGAATATTGTCCTTATTTAAAGATAATTCATCATACCTGAAATCTGTCGGACAGACTGTTGCAACAGTTCCCTCGGTTCTGCTCATCGAAGTAGTACCACTGAATGCCATAAAGTTAGTGGTTTGATCTCCTTTGTTGTTCTCATCCTCATCACTGTCCTCTTTATCACTCCAAACAGTGGTGAGTGACATCTTATTTTTCTTCAAAGTGTTCGCACACTCGGCCTGAATATGTCCAAAACCCCCACACTCTCGACATTGTTTTCTCCTAGACTTTGCATCACCAAAATAACCATTATTAGAAAACTTTTTAAATTTGTTAGGGTTAACAGACTTACCTGATTGAGAGGAATTTTCTCTATTTTCGATTTTTTTACGCAGGCTTTCGAGGTTATTTGACATAATTGCTAAGGATTCTTCAACATCAATGTCACACTCATGAAATGTTTGGCCTTGTGAGATGCCATGGGAAGCTTCAGCTTGGAATGCCACATTCTTCACCTTTTTCTTTTCTCGAATATTTGCTCTAAAATTCATTTCTTGGGTTTGCAGTTTACCCATGAGTTCATCTAGCTTTAGCGTATTGATATCTCTCACTTCTTCGATTGCTGCAACTCTGTAAGCGAATCTTTCTGGTAATGAACGTAGTGCCTTTCTTACCAACTTTGTTTCCGAGTATTGTTCACCTAGTGCATACGATTCATTTGAAATATCACACAGCTTAGCGTGGAAATCAGCAATCGTCTCGTCCTCCTCCATATGAAGACTCTCAAATTTCGTGGCTAGCATCTGCAGCTTAGATGTTTTAACAGTTGATGTGCCTTCATACGTCACTTGTAGGATATCCCATGCTTTTTTTGCTGATTCACACGATGCTATCAATTTGAACTGATTGTCACCAACGCCATTGAAAATTGAGTTTATCGCCCTTGAGTTGTAATTGGCAAGTAATATCTCTTCATTAGTCCATGCTTCTTCTGGTTTTACCGTTTGCATACCATCTGTTCCTTTAGCCATGGGCGGGGTCCAACCAGTCACGATAGCACGCCAAGCTCGTTCATCAACGGACTTGATGAACATCTTCATCTTCGATTTCCAGTAAGAGTAATTTGTTCCATCCAAGAGAGGTGGTCGTACTGTAGACGCTCCTTCACGATGAAGCATATCTGCACAAAACAATTTAAAAAATTAAATCCCAAAATCTCACTAAGTGTATCTAGTGACAGGCTCTTGATGCCAATTGTTAGAATTTATTTCGTGCAGATATAAATTATTTGTGTCAGATTCAGTTTTTCGTTACTGTTGCGTGAAGTGTTGCAACAGTTCGTGAAGCAGTTCGTAAAAACAGAAATAAACGAGACACAAATTTTAATGTGGTTCGGATACAACTGTACCCTACATCCACGGGGACCTGCAAATAAAATTTACTAATTTTTAGTTTTACGAATACAATAATAGGACTTAATCAAAATACAAAGACTCCCTCTTTGTTGACGCCGTTCTTGTATACTACGCTGAATTATAAATCTTCAATTTGCAGCACGTCCCTTGCTCCGCACGGTTGAACTCCCTTCAACGCTGATTTCTTCAGTCGGCGGATCGATCTTCTCCCGAGATCTGTTTAAGCCCCTCTCCCGAAGAACCGGTCTTCTTTTTGTATAGAAGAAGCAAACTTGTGATACTCGTTGAATCTTGGTGTCTTCACCACAAAGCCTTGAAGCCGATATATTTTCTATGAAAATCACGTATCACGATGGAGCAATAAAAACGAGAGGAAAAAAATATTTCTCTGAAATCCTCTCTCGATAGAAAAACTCCGGAAGAGCAACAAAGAAAAGATAATTATTTTTCTCTCCAAAAAGCCGCGCACAATCACGTTCTGATGTCTTCCTTTTTATACGTGATTGAATCTTCCTATACAAGAAATAAAGAAACCCATTAGGTTTTATTGTTAGACGTACAAAGAAGAGTTTTTAATAGAAAAGAAATATTAGCCCACTACTAATGAATACTTAATTCCCATAAAATATAAAATACCAATGAAATAAAATCCATTAGGTTAGGGATTCTTATTCACGTAAGGAAAAGGATTTGTATAACAAAGGAAGGTCTTAGTCATAGAAATTCCTTGTTAACACATCACTTTATGTAATTAAATAAATTAATGACAAAATAAGAGTTTAAAGCATTAAGGAAACTTCCCTAGCTTTAGACACACGTTTTTCACACACGTGCTGAAAAACCGAAATTAGAATCCTCTCGGATTCTAACAGTAACCAAACGAGCCCTAAGTGCTACAACCCCTGTACTTTAAGTGTGGAAACTGCAAAGAGTTTCTAATACTTTTCTAAGGTTTTGGTTTACTTGGCCCTCGAGTATTTATATTTTTCATGTAAAAATAATAAACTATATTATGGAATTATAAAAGTATATTATATATTTTGAAAAACAATTAAATATTCAGAACTAAAATCGGTTCAAATTTAAAATTTCCGATAGTTTTATACACAATTCCAGTTCCATTTCAAAAAATTCAAAAATCATCGAAAAGTGGAACGAAAATTTCATTCCTTTTTTCACATCAAAGTAAACTAGGGCTTAGAATTATGTTTGTTGACGGTATTTTTATTTTTTTACACAAGTTGAGGAGGTCTCCCAAATTAATAATAAGATTTTGATGTGTGGAAAAAACATTAAAGTTAATAATAAGGGTAAAAAATTTATTTTCATCTCTGAGTTTTACCGTCAAAATCAAATTAGTCCCAGAAGTTCTAATTTACTTCAATAGCATCCTCAAGGCCCAATTTTCGCCACCAAAATCAAATATATTTTACTTAATGCCCACATTGCCCTTCAAAATCTAGGGGACAAAAATGAAATGGATCTAATTTGATAATTTTAGAATTATTAAACTTTATATATATATATATATATATATATATATAGACACACACACTCAAGATCTAATTAACTAATTATTATTATTATTATTATTATTATTATTATTATTATTATTATTATGTCTGCATGGGTGTAGCTCAACTGGTTCCAGAGGTGGTAAGTTGGTACAAGGTCTTAGGATCAAATACTTGTCGGACCAAGGGATGGGGGTCCTGGGGGCGAGAAATTTCGCCTGCTGGTACAACTAATTCTTATTATCAATAATCAGTAATATATATATAAATTGATTAATAATTTTAAATATAATACAAGTCTATAAATCAAAATACTTTATTATTATAACCCAAAAAATGTATATAGTATATATACATGTATTAGTTTTATTATTCTTAATATATAAATATATTAAGAATTTTAAATCTAATACAAAATTTAGATTTTTTTTTTTTTTCTATCATTTTTGAATTGGCAAAATTCGCAATGGTCAAATAAGATAAATTTCACTTTCATCCCTCAGGTTTTGAAGGGCAATGCGGGCATTATATTAAATATGTTCTATTTTGGCTGGAAAGTTGTGTCTAAAGGATAATATTGAACAAAATTAGAAACATGGGGATTAATTTGATTTTGACTACAAAAGTCGGCGATGAAAATGGATTTTACCCTATTAGTTCATAATACTGTGCATATTTTCCCTTTATCCTTGAATTAATTAATGTGTAAATTACAATCAAACCCTGAGGTATGGTTAAATTACAAAAAATCTTCTCTTGTTTGGGTAATTACAAACACCCTCTCAACTATAAATCTTCTTACACGTCCATCCTTGTAGTTTAAAATTTACTTGAATCTTCAAAATTATATGGAATACTATCACTTTGTACCCGTTTTATCCCATTCGAACTCCACATTTTGAAGGAAGATGATCAGAATACGTGTTTTTTGGCTTGTACATACCAGATTGTGGTGCATCAGAAACTGTATTTTTACACAAAACGGACAAAAACTAGAGCACATTCCACAAAATCTAGATGATTATGTTGAATTTGACACCATAAGGGTGGAGATGTAAGAAAAAATCATAGTTGAAGGGGTAGATGTAACTATCCAAACAATAGGGGTTTTTCGTAAATTGACCATACCTCAGGAGGGTATTTGTAATTTACCCTTAATTAATTAATAAAAAATTAAATCGTAAAGACTTGTCATGTTGCCGTCAACAGCATAGCATCGCCCCCCGCCCCCCACCCCCCCAAAAACCAAACCGTCCTATATACCCATTTCTGCTACATCAATTTTCGCCCCTTAATTTTTCTGTTCTCAATCACATCACACGAATGCGTATTAATTTTCTTTATACATACATAATTTGAAAAGGTTGACCTCTTGGAAAATAATCAGATTCTCTTTTTAGGGGAAGCGAAAATGGATTCCTCACCCCCACCTCCGACCTCCGCCGCACCACCGCCGCACGAGGCGGAGGCCAAGCGCGAAGAACGACAGATTGAGATGGCGCACAAGACGAAAGTGATACAATTCCTTGGCCGGACTACTCCGATCGTTCTCCAAAATGACAATGGCCCCTGCCCCCTCCTCGCTATATGTACGTCCGCTTCTCTCTCTCCTCTCTCCTCTCTCCTCTCTCCTAGGGCTCAAATTCGTTCTGTACACGTACGGATGTGAGCGTAACTGCTTCAATACATTTATTTTCTCATTCGATTTTGGAATAATTCCATCAATAGATGGTGGATTTTTGTTACTTTTTTTTTTGATTCTTCCAATAACCGAGTGAGATTTGGTTGTGATAGTATGTGAATCGCATTTCCAGGGGGAATTGATGAAAACGAAGTTGTAAATCTTGATTGAGTATGAAACTTGATCGATTTCTATGATTTGTATGCAACCGTTACTGTAATTAGTTCATCATTTGCGCTGATGTTTTTGGCATTGGTTATTGCTTAGGGGTAAAACAATGTGACTGTAGTTATGTGTGTTTCGGAGGGTTTTTGATTATACCCTATTAGTTTTTGGTCCTTTTAGGGTAAAAGTTCTTCGCCACTATGATTAATTAAGGAGTATTTACTAATTTGAATCTACATCATGTTTAGCAGAGATATATTTATCAAGGTTGGCAATATCGTTTGGTGAAGTTTCATGTTTACAGCATGTTTAAATGATGTATACTGGCACTTGATATTGAGATTTTTCTAGTGATGCTTTATTAAGTTTTCTGTGCATAATTTGACATCATTATTTTCTATTTTATTTAAAATGTGATGCATCGAGGTTTTGTGGTTTTTCGCTTTCAAATAAGAAGCTATTTTGGGTTGGACATTTTTGTTCAGAATTTCACATTTACAGACTTTGTTAATAATATATTGTCAGAGATGATTGTGTTTCTAATTGAATGACGCATGTTGTGATAGGTAATCTTCTTTCGCTAAAGAACAGTTTGAATTTGAGTCCAGACATTCCAGAGGTTTCACAGGAGAAGTTGCTTTCACTTGTTGCTGAGCGCTTGATTGATTCGAACAGTAACACTGAAGTAATTGTTTCATCTGCTCTATTTTCTTATTGCCTTTTCTATTGATGAACTGTCGTATTGGATAAGATCTTTTATTGATATGTTCACATCTTCCTATGATATCTGCATGTCTTAAAAAAACTGTGGTTTAACTAATTTGAGCTTGTTAACTGGGTGACAGAATAAAGATGCTGGCTATCTTGAAAATCAGCAACAGAATATTGCTGATGCAATTGATTTGCTTCCCAGGCTTACAACTGGAATTGATGTGAATTTAAAATTTAGAAGGTAGATTAGATTTCTTCTTTTAATGTTCCTTGGTTTCGTTTTTTCAGCTACCACAGATTACAATTACTAGCAATGCTAAAGGATATGTTGGTGATGGCTGTAGTATAATCTTTGTGCGGGAAGCTTTAACCTATATGCATGTATAAAATAAGTAGAATAAAAGTGAATCCTTTTGTTAGTGCAGAACAATTAAAATGAGTCTGGAGGCTAACCTTTATAATCCTGATGAATGTATAACTGATTTTTTCAGAATCGATGATTTTGAGTTCACTCCAGAGTGCGCAATATTTGATTTACTGGATATCCCACTGTATCATGGATGGATTGTTGATCCACAGGTAGGACTGTTTCGCCTTACCATTCAAATCAATGATATTGACTTCTTAAGTTTCCAATGAGTGCTCGACTGTCCTTTCTGTGTGGACTTTATGTTCACAATCATGTCATTTTTAGAGTGATGGTCTGCAATCTAATGAGAAACATTTTAAGTGCTATTCATATGAAAAATCTGCACTACGAGGGCACTGCTCGCACTTCTTATGCACTTATCCTCCTCCTATTTATTTTTAACCTAGTAGTGGCCAAAGAGGCATAAAGTGGAAACAAAAGTATCGATATGTACATAAGCGCTTCTCCCTTCATCACATGCATGCATTGATATGTATGTATGAATCATATGTCTGTGTGTAGATAACTAAGCAGTTCTATGTTTTGATTTTTATAATTCCGTTTCATCTGTATGTCATCCTGCCAAATTTTATGCCACTGGTATCAGACACGTTATTTTAAACGTTAAACGCTAGAAAAGCAACCGAAAGTCAGCTTGAACCAACAGTCCTTCAAGCATTTCCATGTTCTCCAATCTGTCCTCTCCTTCGCTTTATGTTTCTGAATTAAGTATCTTTATTGACCTCCATGGAAAATTAAAATTATGGACCTTGCTCCCTTTTCTTGCTTATGTTATATAATTCTCTCTTTCATTAATGCTTTTCAGGATCACGAAACTACAGATGCTATTGGTTCAAAATCATATAACACTCTCATGGGGGAGCTTGTTACATTGGACACACAAACTATGAAGAGTGAACAGAGAAAGGACACAGAAGGTGATACTGTAGATTTTGCAGCTTCAACAACTGCAGCTCTGGGAGTACCTTCTCCTTGTCTTTCTAGAGGTCAATCATTTGACGAGTCTCCTCAAAAGGTAAAGAAAGGGGACAGAGAAGAAGAAGCAGAGCTATCGAGAGTCTTGGAATTATCGGAAGCAGAAAAATCTGGTTCAGTAGCAGATGGTGTTGTTGAACCGGCAGTACATTCAGAAACAGTGGAAAAGCATTTCATGGATGAAACTGCAAATACTGGGACATTGATTTCTGATGATACCAATGTCCTGAGCAATCACAATGTAGATAAAAAATTACCCGAAGTATTTGCACCTGAAGCTGTTTGTTCTTTCTCGAATACTGTCCAACGTACTGACAAGGAATCTAAAGAATGTTGTGGAAGTGCAGTTGATACTACTGATAGTGATCCAAAGACCGAGAATGTAAATGTGCAGCCCGTTTCTTTTGGAGAAGTTCCCATTAACTTGCTGAATAATTCCCTAACATTTGACGTGGAAGTTCCCATTAACCCAAGTGAGTGTAAAGATAGAGACACTTCTAGTTTGCTGACCACTGCTGCAGATTTAGATTCATCAAGGGGCCAAGTAGGTAAAATTGATAAACCTCAAACTTTCCCTTCAAGTGTTGATAACACTGAACCCATGTACGAAGGGGAAGAGCGCATAATGTCACCAGGGCCTGTGGTTTATGAAAATCCAGAGCCCGTTTATGAGGGTGAGGTGGTTCTTGCAGAACAGGTGGATACAGGTTGTGTGAATGATGGTGACTTTAATGACAGAATATCTGTTAAACAAGGTGCAGTGCTCCAAATAAACGACTACCTTTTCCCTTGTGGTCATCTTTCTTTATAAATTTTCTTTGGGAAATGAATCTTTGTTAATTTATTTATACAATCTCAAAGATAGAAACTTAATACTAATGCATTTATTTGCCTTTTGTTTATTTTCATTAGGGGAAGTGATCAGGGAATTTATGAAGACGAGTGCGAGTCAGTTGACTATATATGGGTATGTTTAATGATATTTCTTCGATGTCGTTGAGAAATAGCTTTGTTTGGCATAAAAATATTCTTATTGTCGGTGATCTTCTGCAGTCTATTTTGCTTGCAAGCTAGGGTGAAGGAACGTGAACTTTGCGTGTTTTTCAGAAATAATCATTTCAATACTATGTTCAAGGTTAGTACCTGTCATTTAATACTATATACCTGTCTTTCACTTGGCAATTTTATTACATTTCACCCAAATAAGCTGGTATGATTTGACTACAAGTGGGCGGAAACTTTACTGACTAGACAGCAATTGGCTGATTTTACTTATCCATGTTACAAGACACTGGCTTGTTAATTTTTGTTAGTCATTGATGTGTTATTGAGAAACCCAGCGGGTTTCCCCGAATACATAATGTGCAGTGAGGTTGTTTATTTTTCTACTTAGGGTTGTAACTGACAATGTGCAAATTATGCTCTGCTTTTTTGACACAGTTGGATTCAAATCTAACTTTTGTTGCTTTGCAGTACGAGGGTGAGTTATACATTTTAGCTACAGACCAAGGTTACCTAAATCAGCCCGATTTGGTATGGGAAAAGCTGAATGAGGTGAGATGGTAGTGTGGATTTGTTTCATTTCTTTATTAATGGATGATCTCAGTTTTAGTGGATGAATAAATGCCATTGTTCCAGTATCTTTAAACATTTCTGATGCCACTGTATTTGAACGTTTCAGCTGTTCTAGACGTAGATATCAAGAGAAAATTAATAAATTTAACTCATATTATCCTGTCTCGCCATCTAAAGTTCATAGTTCCATGATTACATGTCCGAATAATGTAGACATTCATCCCCACATATCCCGATGCTGTTCTTTTACTATAATAAACAAAGTGTCATATTCTGATGGTGTTATTATTGGAATGCCTAGAATCCATTACAATTTAGGGGTAATATTCTGATGGTTTTCCCTTCAATTTGTTATGGTTTTGAGAATATTATCAAAATCAGCATTATTCTTTATTTTCCGAAGAGTTTGGGACAGCATTAGATACCTAGTTGATTTCTATTTTGAGAAGAATAATGGTGCAATGTTTCTGTGGCTCCTAACTTATAATTTTATTGCCAGGTGAACGGTGATACTTTGTACATGACCGGGAACTTTAAGGAATTCAAGATGGATGGCCATTCCAATAGCACATGGGATGAACAGAATACCTTGGCCAGTACTGCAGTATGTAGCTGTTCAATGTTTCCGATATCCTGAAATATGAATGCACGACTGATTAATTAAGTCTCGACCTTTTGTTTTGCAGGACTATATAGCCAGCATTGATAATGTAGATCCATCACATTCAGATTTCAAGTAATTTTCTAACTTCTCCGGCACCGGTTATCCCTCTTAAAAATTGCAATTTTGAGAAGTATTTCCAATCTGTCATGATAGTGTTATTATTATTTCTGGGCGTCTTTTGTTACGTTTATCTTGAAATTCTCTATGCTTGTGAAAATGGAATTTACTTTGAAATGACGTGTCTTGTCATGTCATTGAGTTATTCTATTTTCCTCGGGATTTAGAGTTGACCTTGGCGGAATTTTATGTTGAAGTTTTAGTGTATGTGGACATCTTTGACTTATTATGTATAATTTTAACATGCCATGTTCTATTTTCAATAGCTGAGATCTAGAGCAACCCTGGCTGTGTTTTGGAGTAATTGATTTTTTTTTTTTCCGCAGTTCCGATTTGCAATTGGCAATAGCTCTTCAACAACAGGAATTTGAGGAACAACAGCAGCAACAACCACCACAACCACCACTGCATATAGTACACGAACCAGCTGTTAGTAGTGGTTCAAGGCTGATCACCGGTCCCCCCCACGTAGGTTTTCTAGAAATGCAATATCATTTACGAGAAAATTAGGAAATGAAGATGGATTTCTATTTTTTTTTAATTCTTTTTTTAATGTACTAAACTCGATATCTTTGCAGGTTTCACAGAGTAGTGGGAAGAACACGCCATCTTCCTCATCTAAGCAAGACTCAAAGTCGAAGGAGAAGTGCATTTTGATGTGATTTACTTGTACACGGGAAGTTATGTGAATGCTACGCTACGATTGTTTCTTGGTCGAATTGAAACTCGTGCCAAACGATAATGCCATGTTTGTATCACTAACTACAGATGCTTTGTTGTGTAAATAAGAATCACATCATCTGGCTCTGTAAATTTGAGTTCTTACCTGCCTTGTTATGGATGGAATTTATCCTGGATTTTGACTTGTGGTAATAACACAATGTGGAGATGTCAAGTTTCTGTATATCGTTGCAATTGTTCGATTGTTTGTTCAGAACTACATAGTCATATACAACAAATACAAGGGTAAATTACGAAAATCCCCTGAACTTAGACTAATTTACAAAAATACCCCACTTATCCGTAATTATCAAAATTCCCCCGATGTTTGTTTGTCTTTCACCGGCCCCCTTATGGTATAATTTTTTAGAGGATCTTTTTGATTTTAGGGAATATTTTACGAAAAATGATAATTCTACACCTGCTACAATTGAATATGAACTGGCTTTTTTGCAATTTTACCTAGGTTCAGGGTTTTTTTTTTTTTTTTTTTATGTAATTTAACCCTATATACAATTGAATATGAACTGGCTACAGAATCTGATGTTGCAGTGGTATGTATGTGTTTTGGGCATTTGTAGCTACTGAGCCTCAAAGTTTATGTTTTTATGTAGTCTTTCCCAATTTGTTTATTTCTCTTGACTAGGTTACTTTTGGGTCGTAAAATTCTGTACGATATTTTTTTTTACACGGGTGAGGGCTCGCCCTACACCCGCCTTGAGGCCGTTTGATCGAAACAATCTTGCAAATCCTCAGTTGCAAAACAATTGGTTTCATTATAGTCTAAGACAAAAGTACATTTAATTAAGTATATATCATCTCTAAAAACGTTCTAAAAAGGTACCCCAATCGTTAAAAAAAAAAACCTACTACTTTCGACTTGCTTGTTGTCTCATTTGTTCTTACTCCAACGAGCGGGCTTCAACCGGAGCCATTTCGACCCGCGCGAGAGGAATAATCCCTAGAGCGCCATCTTTCGGTTCTAAATAATTACCTAAAAATCCGGATCATTGGGTTTAAAAAGCTTAGGCATTCGTAAGCTAGAATCTCCGGGCTCAACGAATCTCACTTTCTGCACGGCCCCTTTCTTCGTATTCGCAGCAAATTTCGAAGCCAATATAGTAGCCGCAAGCGGTTTACTATCGGCCGAAGCATAGTCATTAGACGAACGACTCCCGTCGTCGTCATCATAATCGTCGTCCGATAAATGCATGTAACACATACTCTCGTGCCTCAAAAGTTCCTCCGCGAGTTTCCTCCTCCGGTGCCGTCTAAACGCAGCTTGCAGAATGCAAGCGCCCCAAGTCCTCCATTGATGCGAATAGTACCGAAACGAGTGCTGCAGCCTCTTGCTATGGAGCCTCTTGAATTGATTGGCGAAGAATTTTAGGTCGTCCGCTCGAAGGGCGAAGGCTTCTACCTCGGTGGTGCATCTGACGGTTCGTGTGGAGGCCGGACGGTTTACGTTCGATGATGTCATGAGGGCCCACGTGAGGAGTTCTTCGCCGCAAAAGTCTCCCGGTTTTAGGGTTATGGAGTTGAAGAATCCGGATCTTCCGCCATCCGTCGTCGAGCTCTCGAGCTGACCTCTGATTACGAAGAGCATCTCGTTGACCGGGTCTCCCTCTCGCACGATGTACGTGCCTTTCGTGTTTAGGGATGAAACGAGACGCTCGCATATTGCGTCCAAGAGTTGGTCGTCCATTTGTGAGAAGAAAGGGACCTAAGAAATGAAATATGCATGAAAAACATGAAATTTTGCTTATGTGAGAAAGGTATTTTACGGGTTTATTGCATTCGACACCCCTGTATTTTGTCTACTTGTTAAAAAACTCCCCATTTTATTTTATCAGCAAAATCCCTCCTATAATTCAATGTTTTTTTTAGCAAACTACCCCCTAGTGTACTAAGAAAATGCATTGTAGAGGTTTTTTTGCTAATATTAATAGCATGGGAGATTTTTAGCAATTAAATATAACACAGGGGTACTATATGCAATAAACTCGTGTTTTACTCCCTTTTGTGTTTTGTTTTTTTCTAAAATATTTTCATAATTACTATCTTGTTAAAAACACGTATTGAACATTAAACGACTATACAATGGAGTAATATACTAGGATTACTCCTAGTCACTAGTAGAAAAAATGACATTTTACTACGAATTTTTTACTATGGTAAAAACTTGTAACAAAAGGTACATTTTACTACGGTACTATTTGTAGTAAATGCTAAGATTTACCGTAACAAAAAAGAATTTGTTACGGTCGTTTACCATAGCAAAGTTTTTGTCACAAGCATATGCTACGGGGCAAATTCGTTGCACATGCGCAGTAAAAAAACTTTTTTCTACTAGTGAATGTTTACTCTAAATGAGTAGATGCATACCTTTTGATGAATCAAATATGATCGATAAAGCCAAGCGTAACAAAAACGTAGCGGAATAAAAACAATGAACTTACACGACGAACAAGATCTAGGCAAAGATGCTTCTGAATTTCGCGTCGAAGGTCAAGAGGTAAAGCTTGGAGAATGTCTTCTTCCTTTACGCCTCTTGTTGAGAGCCAGTTGTATTGCACGAATCGACGCACACGATCTTGTAGGTCCGGAGGTAGTTGCCGATGCCTCATCCATTCCTCGGTATCTCTTCTTCTCACCCTCCATTCTTCAAGTCTTGCTGTTGTAGATTGTAGATATGTCTATCATATTTCAAAAAGAAAAAAGAAATGAATGGAATGAAAACTCAATAAATTTATCTTTGAAATTTAGGGTAAATTACGGTCACCCCTGAAGTAAGCTCAAATTACAAAAAAACCCCTATATATATGTTTGGGTATTGCAACCACCCGTCAAATATGAATCTTCTTACAGGTCCACCCTTGGGGTGTCAAATTTAGTGGAATCTTCTAGATTATGTGGAATATTATCCATTTGTACCTGTTTTACTACATTCGAGCTCTACATTTTGAAACAAGATGATAGTAAGATGTGTCTCTTGACTTGTATATATCTGATTGTGGTGCATCAGAAACTGCACTTTTGCACAAAACGTGTACAAACTAGAGAACATTCTACACAATCTAGAAAATTCCATTACATTTGACAGCGTAAAAATAGACGTGTAAGAAGATTAATAGTTGAGGGATGGTTGTAAATACTCAAACAGGAGGATGCATCGTCATATTATTGCACACTAAGATCATCAAACAAATTCTATTACATAATGAGTACCTGCACGTTTCCGATCAGCAACGCGAAGAAGACTAACCCCATAAGGCATATAAGAATACTAAATATCGTCTCGACTATATACGCACTTGCCTCCAGACTCTGTCCGTACGAACTCCCCAAAAAAAAAAAAAAAAAAAAACCGATTATAATTAATCGAGTAAGCGTAAAGGTATCGAAATATTCCCGGTTAGTTTATGGATTAAACTAACCTGAGACTTCTTAAACCGAACCAGAGACAGTAAAAGTATTTTTCGATTAAACTTGCGGAAGGAACTTCATCTTCAAGAGCATAAGCAAACAGTCCAAAGTTGTAGTCGCTCGATTTGCCGTCACATTTTTTAAATACGTCGGTCGCGTTAAACCAAACGTCGTGATCGGGTCCAGACGACGCACAATCGAGATACGTAACCTTACAAAAATCGCCCTCGTCTCTTTCATGCCTACACTGCAGCTTCCAGCACGAGAATATTCTTTCCACGGCCATCAAATACCACACTGCTCCTAAAACCTTCGTAAAATGCAGATTCATATGAAAATTCACAAACGAAATAGCGACAATTATTATTTTTTTTAATTATTTTTTACTTTTTTTATTTTATTTGATTTGGGGTGCTTACATGACTTGCTAACAGGTAGAGAAGGAGATTGTATGCTGCACCAGTCCAAGCCGTTTTAGCGACAACGCCCGTGTTTTTTATAATTCGCCAATTTAACGGGAAAATAACGATGAGTCGCGGGATGTATTGAAGGATGATTAGTAATGAAATGGCGTGATTTACGTGAGCGCTCGTACTTGATTTCGTAAACGGCATAACACCCCAAGCAACACACTGTTGGATAATCGAATACGAACAATGTAAGTAAGCAGAATCCGTACAAACATTTTTTTTTCTTCTACTAAGTTGTGTTTATCGAATGAATACGAACTTTAGCTAGAGACAGAGCAAGAACTTCCAAATTCGATAGCCGAACTATATTTTCATACTTAAAATCAAAGAGTTAATTGCATTTAATACCCCTATAATTTATTGAATTGCTAAACAAGTCCTCGTGATATTAACATTAGCAAAACAAACCCATGTAATGCATTTTTTTAGCACACAACTGCTAAAATGGTGAGTTTAGGAGTAGTTTGCTAAGCAAATTTCATTACTGGGTTTTTTTCGCTAATATTAGTAATACGGGGACTTTTTTAATAATTAGAGTAAACAAAAGGGTGGTGAACGCAATACACTCTAAAATCATAATTCATTTTCTCTTCTCTTAACTGGGAGCTAATAGCACAGACCTCCCTGTGTTATTTCTAATTGCCGAAAACTTCATTTGTGTTCAAAAAATTAACTAGAAGCTCCCTATGTTGTGTTTTTCAATGTACACCGGTCCTTATATAAAAAATTATTGTTGACTTACATGAAATGACCAAATTAATCTTATGAAAGAAATATTAAAAAATAGCAAAAAGGAAACGAAAAGAATTAAGAGGTTATTTTTGACTTTTCGAGTCAAAAAAACAAATTTGTACTCTCACAGTCCGCGCGTGCATTACACAATAAGTTGTTAGGGATTCTTTGCCTTTGACTATTTTCCACAGGGGGATTTGTACTAATTTTGTTTACACAATGGTATTTTCAGCAATTAGAGATTACACCGGTGGTTCTTGCAAAAAAAAAAAAAAAAAAAAAAAAACCTTAATCTGCTTCAAAATTAAGCGCATAAACAAATCTCTCAATTTTAAAACAAAATCTCTCAATTTAAAACTAGGCCAACTGCAAAAATCTCCTTTCAGGGTATATTGCATTCACCACCCTTGCGTTTACTCTAATTATCAAAAAAGTCCCCATGTTACTAATATTAGCGAAAAAATCCCCAAAACCGAAGAAGAAGAAGAATGGGTTACCTGGGGGAGGGGAAGAGCGGAGGCGAGATCAACAGCGAAACCCCCTTTGAGATATCGAACAGCAATCATCGACGGATCCCTAACCAAATCGCCTCTGCCGAAAACGCGTGAATTCGGGGCAACGTATGCGGTGCGGAATTTAATGGCGATGTGGAGGGCGGAGAAGAGATCTATTATGGTTCGGGTGGCGACGAGGAATCCGGCCCATGCGTAATCCATGGTGAGGCAGTTTTGATCGGAATTGAATCCCAGCAGGTAGAAGAAGAGCGGGTCGACGAACAGGGCAATTAGTGACGTCACGAAGAAGATCCGATTCCATCTATTCACGATTTCGCCACTGGGGTCGAGGATTTGACGCCACCACTCCTCGCGGTCGCGGACGAGGGAAATGGGGTTCGGCAGCGCCGCCAGGCGGAGGTTCAGGTTGTTCATGGCCGGACGACATACATCACAGAGAGAGAGAGAGAGAGAGAGAGAGAGAGAGAGAGAGAGAGAGAGAGAGAGAGAGAGAGAGAGAGAGAGAGAGAGAGAGAGAGAGAGAGAGAGAGAGAGAGAGAGAGATTTTTGAAGATTGTATGGCCTTTTGGACGTTAAGTTCGTTGGAAGCGCGCCACATACGAACAAGATCCTCTAATGTATTTGTTATTTTTATTTTTTTACCTTTTTGTTTTTGGTAAATTAACAAAAAAAAAGGAAAACTCCGGAACTGAAGTTTAATTACTAAAAACCCCCTAAAGTATTTTAATTATTAGAAAAAATCCTCTTGCTAACGGTTCCATGGTTCGTCAGAATGGAACAATGCATTGTCGCGGACACTGTTGTTCCAGTTCTGTTGCAACGTCGCAGCTGAACGGACACATTTTAATTAAATTGCTAAAAAAATGCAATATATTTTGTAATATGTTTTTAATAACAAAATTACAACTCAATAATATGCAAAATATTATTACAATTTCAAAAATAAATATTACAATGAATATTATGAAAATACAAGC